TATATCATGTATTAAATGAAGTTAATGAACTTTAAAATATTATCAGTATGTCTTGTCCATTGTTATTTTTAATAAAAAATCTAGTATAAAGTAAAAGCAAACGACCTTACAATGCATTAGTATTGGTATGAAAATGATCAATTACGTTCATCAATTCATCAAGAATAACAAGTTAACACAGCAAATGCTGATGACAAAAGGACGTGACAACAACACACTTACACGTGAACTCGTGCTGACCCCGCAAGATCATTGACCAATAAGAAAGATGAAATCCAATCATGCACTGGTCATAAGTGAAATTTCTCTGCACGTGAAAACATGTTATCTAATTTCAAAAATTTCTCGTTCAATTAAGAAGAACACTCTGACCCTTTGACCAGACTAGAAACATCATAAATTTACAGTAAAAATAGCTTACTCTTTATTTAATATATTAGTAATAAACAATTAAAACAGAATTATCTTCTCTGCTGTGTCTTAAATTATTTCATTTGGCTTAATTTTCAATTAGCAAATAAAATTGGATATCACACATACCAAATAGACAAAAATTTTCAACTTTTATTAAAAAAAAAAAAAACATTATATTACAGGAACATGGTCAACAATTGAAAAAATGATATAAAAAACACTGAACAAAAAGGATAAACATGAGCAATGGTTGATGTTGGACCTAGAAAATATAGAAAGAAGTAGATATGGCTGTATCTAAAAAATTAACAACATTGAATATTGATTTAGATTAAATAAACAACAAACAAAACCAAAAAAACACACACACAATATTGATATGAAGAGAATGGACAAGTAACTCCATCTGACACAATGGGATAACAAATAAAATTATCATGTTAAGCAAATGCATATAAGTGATTTTATATATACAGAAAATCAATTGGCATACATCATAAATAGTCACAAAGATAAATCTAATCAGACATTTGTACTGTTAATTTTGCTTCGATTTTTCTTCTTTTCCTTTTCTTTTTTCCTTCTCTTTATTTTAAACTGCCTTCCTCAGTATTTTCAGAGAGTCTTTTTGTGGGTTTTGTCGATTTTGTTTTAACAAAGTTCTTCTTTAATATTTTCCAAATTTTTGGGTGAGTGTTATGACGTTTTCACCTTGAACTTGGTTTTGGAGCAGTTTTTTGTGTAGCTCCTAAGCCAGGTTCAAATGACATCTGGGATGGTCCCTTCGGTGTAGAAAGTTTTACTGACTGGCTTTTTATTTCTGCAACATCCAGTTTGTTTATAACATACTGCCTTCTGGTCCCAATCATACCGTCTTTAAATTCTAATATTGGCTTATTGTTTCTGTGTCTTCAGTAGCTGAAAAAATAACTTCTCCATTTTTCCTCTGCATCAGACAAAAGTATGATAGACCTTCATCAGCAACTGAGGCTTTTGTCAATTTATCTAAGATCTGGAGGATGTTAGAAAAAAAATTTCTCTCCATGTCACGATTTCTTTCTATTAGTTGTGGTGTTCCTGAGGTTTTCATCTGATATGTTCCTGTTGCTCCTCTTATCTTGGTAAAAAAATTTTTTTTTAAAAAGAATATAAATGACAAGCATGCGTATAACATGTGAACTAAGCTAAGATATACATTATTAAAGTAAAACTTGTGGCGTATCTCTAGTTTCAATGATGATATGGAGGTATATGTTTCCTCGAAAACAAAAACTATCAACAGATTGTTACTTTTTAAGATATGACAATTGTTTAATTTGTATAAAAAATCATTTGTAAACATTATACATTATCAGCATTGGAAGTACATACTTGGGGACATAACAACAATATGGGAAAATCTGGACTCTGTTCTCTGTCTCCATCAATCATTTGTTCTGAGTCTTCTATGCTCTCTAGATAAGTTAACAGTTTGAGTTAAGGGCTGAACAATAAAATGATACCCAACCACTCAAACTTCTGTACTGGAGAAAATACTGAGTTTTCTTCGTTAAGAAGAAAACCTGCTTTCAAAAGTGATTGTTTCACGAATTCAGCATCTTTGATACATTCGTTATTGTCATTATTCATGCCAAATCCTTAATCAAGATATAAAATGATTTTTATACCATTTTTTCTCCAATATTTGACGAATGGTCTGAGACACTTGGTATATATGTAAGGACCCGTAGAAAGACCACACTAAAACAGTAAAATATATCTTCCCACGAAAAACCCAAATAAGCACGCTGTGGACTTATATATCGAAATGAAAATAACCAGATTTGAAATCAAATTTATGCAGATAATCATTTTTCTGAAAGTATTCCACAGCTATTTTCCAATCTTCAAATTTAATCTTATCTTTATTCACCGATAAATTCAAAGTGTTTAAATATAGTATAAGACGCCTTTGTCCAGACTTTTGGATAGCTACACTCAGTGGATTGACAATGTAAGGTTGAAATTGGAGCTCAATAACGCAACCTGAAAGAACAAGTTCATTTACAGATTTGCTAACAAATTCATTATTCTGAAGAGCAGATTTGTTATTTTTTCATGTGCATGCTTGAAGGACTATCAATAAACGGAATAAGATATTCAATGTGTCTTAAATAAAAGAATTAGCACCAATATGGCCCCGGTACTGAATACTTTTTGCTAACCTTACTTTAACACCAGAGAAAATACTCGTGTTAGATTAGAAATTTTCAAACAATCCTACTTGTCTAAGCAAATTATCAATATCGTGATTTAAAAAATAATTACTATCAAAATTAGAAAATAAATATAAATACTTATCATTAACTAACTTTTCGTTTTTAATTGTTCTGTGGTGTATTGCTGATGTTGAACTGGTTGCGTTTGTGTAGCGTACAGTTTTTCCACCAGTGACCAAATTGTTAACAGGCATGACACATGTCATGCTGGGACGTCTGACGCTGCACGCTGCCGACTCGAAATGACGGCGAGTTCTGACGCTGATACTGATTGACATTATAATAATTAGGAGCAGTTTCAATAGGAGCTAGATTAGAAGTTGTATTGTAAGAATGTGGACGACGGGATTCATCGTTTCCCGTACGCATGGCTATGGATTCCGCCTGGCGGATTTTCCTCGGAATCCGAAGCGATGACATTTGATTCATATTTTCTGACATTGGCCCAGCTACCGGCTAAGTATCTGCGTATAAGTTTGTTTCTGTCCTTAACCTTGTCTATGAGGTCTATGATGATACGTGAAACCTTCGACTTAGAATGGGGAACAAAGCTATAAACCTTGTTTAGCTCGGTAATAGCTTCCTCGTTAAACTTGTTTTGTATTTTATGACCCTCGTGTTTAGATTTTAGCGAAACCTCTTCTTCCTCTGCTTTTAACTTTTTGGAAATAACGTCCTGTTCACGGACCAAATCTGATTTAAGATCAACTAGTTTATTGTCAAAATACACTTTCAAAAGTTCAAAGGTATCGGCCAAATCACAGCGCATTTCTACTATATGGTTGTGACTTTGTGAATTACCAGTTGAAATTTGTAAATGTTCAGTCTCACCTCCAGACATTGGACTTCCTTCTCTAATCTCTGAGATACTCAGGTTAAACACAAGCTTACAACTTTACTGCACCAAAGGGAACCTCGAATTACATTATCTAAAATTAACACAACCGCCAAAAGTATAGCACGAAATATTTGAATTGACCGTATTCAAATATTATGGTCGGTTCTAACTCGACCAATGAAAATATTTTACCTATTGTATGCTTTCAACACGTTTATGATTATAAACAAATTCATCTGGTAATGTTTACACACCCGTGTACATAACTTTAATAAATATATCCATCTTTCACTTGCAGTATATTTATTTGCCAAGATGCATATATTTTTTTTTTTGCATAGGGAAATGTCCGTAAAATTAGGTAATTTATTTCCTTATCAATCGATTACGCTTGAGCATTTGCAATAATAAGGAAAGTGGGTTACACACACTCGTTAATTTTTGTTACGCGGACACTGTACGATACAATAGCTTTATATAGTACAAATTGAGGTGACGTTAAGGTGGACATCAATAACGTCGCCGAAACATCCACGGGATATAGCTTGAAAACAAGCACGGTTGCTAAGGACTTCCTTTGCACCTTTAGATTCATTGTTCATTTTTGGATCGCATTTGGAATAATAAAAGATTATGTGGACCAACGAATTAGAAAATCTTGATCAAGTAAAAATATCTGCCCATTTTCATGATTTTTCCATATATATCCTTTGGTTTTTTTTGTCATATTATGCTGTTTCAACAGCTTGTATCTGAAATATAAAAACGGTTACCCCTTTTTTATTTAATTTCTGATGTATTTTTACAAGCAGAATCTACATGTAGAATAAAACAAATATGTAGAGTTAATTACATACACTTCGCCTTAAATTTTTAGTTAGATTAAGAAATTTCATTATGTACTCCTGGCTGCACTTACAATGTGTAGCATGTTACTAAAATTAACTGCTGATAAAATCCTATAAGCATTTAATGTAATATATTCAATAGTTTGGTTATATATGTACAATATACGACTGATAAATTGTTTTGCACTGCTACATTTACGCATTTATTCATACATCAATTGCGTCTGCAGTAGCTGTGGGATTTAAAAATAAATAATATACCGTATAACAATTTATTACGGCTTAACATCCCTGACCACACTTTTACATACTGACAGATAATCAATAAATAATAACATTTGTCAGCTTGATTATGCAAAAAATTTATCATGAGTTATAGACTATTTAGAAAATTTATTATTTTGTTACGAGTTGTTGTTATTTGTGATAAATCGACACAATATTTTAATAAAGAAATTACAAAATGTATACCTGTTAATAAGTACTGCGTTTTAAATAACTACCATCTGTTCTTTTTTTACAAACTACATTTTTGCCAGAGGGATTTCTCCCAGTAAATGTTTGTTTCTATGTATTATGGCATTAATCAATGCCATGCAAAAAACCTTGTTACTTTGAGGCCAGATGGATTTTAATTTACCTGAGTTTTGCTCCAGGTACTAATATGTATATATAATTAAACAACATTTTATTATCTAAAGTTTTAGTATTTGTCAGATAGTCAGCTTCATTATTTGCAAAATGAGAACTGGAATGATACAGTCGTGTTTTTTGTTGATTTTGCTATTTTCAATGTCCGAACAATGTGGATGTCCAGCACAGTATACACAGCAAGTCGTTTGCGACTCCAAATTAGGTAAGACCAGTTTTTTGTGTCTAAAGGTATGAAGGGTTTCATGTGATTAAAAAAAAATTGTAACATGTTTTAGGGATGATTAAAAAATAAGACAATTATGAGAATATAATAAATTTTCAAAGAAGGAACAAGACATAAACAATAAAAAAAGGCAAAGCACGGTCAGCTTTACATCAGGTTCGTTTGAAGAAGTAGTAAAGCTTTCTATTTTTTTCTGTTTTGTTTTGTTATAAAAATAGAGCACATGATTTTTATGTTGGATTTTGGAGTACAAAAGTGGAGATGTCGAATATTAGGGGGAAGGGGGTGGGTAAAACAGTAGGATCTGTGGGAAAGAAGGAAACAAGTGGTAAGTCGGGAAAATTACAATAACACTGGTATTTCGAAAATGAACATCCCTCATAAAATATACTACATTTTCAATACTTCTTCAAGTCATCAAACAATGTTTACACCAATGGAATTCCACAAGAACAAGATAAACGTTGAAATACTTTATTTTCGCAAAAAATCAATGTTTTTAATTCTTCATATTGAATACTAAAACTACTCAATATAGAATTGAAAAATGAATTGTTTGTTGCTTCTTTTACAGTTGTAACAGCTAAAATTGAATCGTCCTCATCTGATAGATTCCACACGAACTATAAAATATCTGTGACAAAGTTTCATCATGTAAGTATTGACAAATATTGTTATCGTCAAATGCGTTTAATGAAGAAGTCCGTGAGATGGATTTAAAACGGATAACGAGTGCTCATATAAATTTGACATTCATTCAAATTTACTTTTTGATCAGAAAGAATATTGTTAATTATTTCTTTTGTGATTTTTCGAATTGTAAGGAAGAGGAGTTGTAGTAGTGTTTGATTTATACTGGTTTTTGTACATTATTTAAATTGATCAGACCATTTGAGTCTTTTTATGACCTTTGCAACATTTCTCTTTGTTTGAGTTGAGATTTTCTACCCACTAATGGTTTTTTTTGTGAAAAAATAATCCTATACACAAGCAAACTACTCGTTTTGCTATCGAAAGTAACTTTGTATAATATGCTAAAAGCTTGTAATTTTTGTAAGAATCTTTTACTGTTTCATTGGACTAATTAACAAAATATTTTCAGTTTTCGTCTTTAATTATTGTTTTAGAGCCTTGTAAAATATGTTATAGGATATAAGAGCTGTAATGCTTCTAATTTTAATCAATAGTTTTGTTATTATTTTATATATGACAGGGTAAGATGGAATATGATAAGTTGTCCGATAAAAAGACCCTGGAGACACCAAAATCAAGTGCAGCATGTGGACCTGTGGTTCTCACTGTAGGATCAAGTTATATTTTATCAGGTTAAACATTGTTCGACATTACAGACTGAAGCATAACATGCAATTTTTCTTTTAGTTTTTTTAAAAGTTTTAATTGGCCAAGAACGTTGCAGAAGATGGAAAAATCAATAACATGCCATGTATTTCATTAAGCTATACCATAAATAATAAAATCAGCAATCATATAAAATGAAGCGACAAATTCACTAATGCAAATAATATATGGGATTGTTGGGTAAAGCAGGTTTACCATTCTGTGGACAGTTTCCAATAGGCTAATATCGATGTAGTTGTATATTTTAAATTGAATTTTAGGTCCTTTTTGGTTATCTTCAAATGTTTCAAAGTCGTATACATCGCATCATTGTCTTTCAAAATGTAAGGCGTTAAGCGTGTCTGATGGAGGTAAATCCAGAGAACTGTCTGAAATAGGCAACGTTCTCCCTTGCTGTATTTTCGTTTAACATCTTAACTTCGTACTTTTTGGACTTTTTAAAATATTTGATTTGATCGTCACTGTTGCGTATTTTGTAAAAACAAAATCAGACGTAAACAATTGTAATCCTGGTATATATGATGAGTTTATTGTCGTTATATTTTCTTATCGATATGCTATGCTTTGGAATCCTTTTTCGATATCCGGAAATAACATTTTAATGTAAATAATATGTATGATTTATTTTATAATATTCCTGTTTCTTTTGTTTTAATATTAGTCATCAATGATTTAAAGTTTTATCATGTTTTCTTATTGATGAATTTATTGTATTAGTTTAAAATAACATTTTAATGTAAATAATATGTATGATTTTTTTTTTATAATATTCCTGTTTCTTTGTTTTAAATAAATTGTAATGTATTTCAAAATTCAAAGTTTTAATATTAGTTATCAATGATTTAAAGTTTTACCATGTAATCTTATTGATGGAATGGTATTTGTTAATAAGCATTTTCGTTGTAAAATTCAGTTTTAGTAAATTGAAAGACTTACTGTCTGTTTACAGAAAAGAAAAAAAAAACGTCTTGTTTTATTTTAAATAGCTATTGCTGTGATAAAGCTTTTTTGTGCTAATGCGGCGTAAATCAATCGCCTATCAATCAATCAATCAATTGATACGTCTTGGAAAATAAGTTTATCTTCACTTAGTTGAAGTAACCCCTTCTTTTAGATTTGAGTACATTTTACAATAAAACATTAGGTGAAGAAAGGTAAGGCTAGTGTTCAAATTGGGGTTTTGGTTAACATAAGAGTAAGGGTCAGAACAATATCACATTATATGGTAATTTCTCCTTACGTACGTAAAGTCCGAGAAGTAAATAAAAGCAACAGGAGTATACCGCTGTTCAAAAGTCATAAATCGATAAAGCGAAAACAAAACCGGGATACAAAATAAAAACGAGGAAAACACATCAACTATATGAAGAAAACAGCGGAACAACATTAACGTTGAACTGCAACAAAAACAAACGCCAACATACTTAGAATTTGATAACAACTGCCATGTTCCTAACTTGGTACAGGATATTTTAAGAAAAATGATATAAATTTGAATTGATAAATTTATTAGTAATTATTACTTCAATTGCCTCTAAATTCTACTTTCATTGATTTATTTGAACAAATACATAGAATCAGCAAAATAAACTTATTGTGAGGCTAGTGCTTACAGTATAGTTTCAATTTATCATGTTCATTATACATTTACTTAGTTTGTTTATTTTTCACTTAAAAGTTGATCTGTATGATGGGAAAATGAGCCATAACTTATGTGGTCTCCAGGTTGAAGCCAAAGGTGCAAGTCATGTCTTGTTACAAGGTTTGGCTGGAAAATATAAAGATAATTGTGGATGTGAGGTATGTTTGTGTTATTGTTTAAGTGACTACAGGTGTCACAAATGAAGCAGATACGACTAAATAAATATTTATTTGATTACGGACTTGTGTATGCCCTTCTTATTACTAATAGTTTGTTTTAAATGAAGGCATGATAAAACATCATTTGTACTTCTTGCCGTATCGTCACACTAGAATAACACACTAGTATCTTTTTCAAAATGAAATTAAACCACATTGTATACCCTACGATTGTAGGTATACAGTTAATAATGTTTTTATAAAAATGTATAGACTTTTCCGATATAGGGAGAAAACATTTTAATGAAAGTAATAAGTATAATATTTTAATATTATTCCAGTCATTTAAAACATTAAAAATGGAATATTATTGTTAATTGACTGAAGTTTCATCTTATTGGTAAAATGTTATGTAAATAAGTAACTTCGCTTTAAACTAAAGTTTAGTAAATTGAAAGACCTTTTGTCTGATTTTTAACCTATCTTTAATTAAAATATTTGAAAAGCTCTTGCTGGTATAGCGTTTTTGTGCTGATGAGGCGTAACACAATCACCAATCAATCATCATTTTAGGGCAACGTTTTTCAAAGAGCCCGTTACTTCAGACACAAACTGTGTATGACCAACAATGATTTTAATGTATTTATTCTGAAATATATACATTTTCTGGGTTTATTTTATTATTTTTAGCAACAAAGGCAAGGGTTTTCTATTGAATTGCCCAAAATATTTTCATGCTTACTATGAATTTGTGACACACAAAAATAACTTGAAAACTAAACATTTCTCCAAGATGATACACTTTTCATATTGTTTTACTTTGTATTACTTTCAGATTCCGTATGCGTTTGATCCTCCACTAATAGGCCCACAAACCAGAAACCATTGTAGAAATGCACCTCAAGGATGCTCCTATCAAAGTCTGTGTAGCAGGAATGGATACGGTAGATGCAAGTGGCAAGGTTGTTAAACAACAATCATTAAAAAAGTTTCGTTTAAACACTTTGTTAGTTATTTTGCTACTTTTTGAAAAACAAATTCGATAGATTGATTGTTAGTTTGCTTAACGTCCTGTGGTAAATAATTCCTGGCATGTCAAGGACATATTACTAATGCATACAAAAGGTAGTTACAATCTGCTCGATCACCCTCTCATCTGTGCGTTATTTAAATAATGTTTTTCTTTATCCTAAGCGTAATCGTTATTAGCACACAGAGCAACATTTTGTGGGCAATATTTCCATTTGAATAAATTCACGTGTCCAAGCTTTGCTTACAATTATCTGAAGACGCTTCCTTCTACTGTCTGTTTTAAAAAAACCTTCGAGATCGTTTAATTTTGTCTGATTAATACACGCCTTCAAAAATTTGCAGATTGAAATGTCATTGGCTGATGAAAAAGTGTAGTCCAATCCTTGTAAGCAATGCGTAGACATAGGATCTGAATTTTAATTATATTGATAAGTACCTTACTTATTATCGGATTTGTGACCGATGATTTTTTTCCTGCTCTATCTTGTTTCTTATCAGAACAGTCGCTGGTTCTTTATTTCAGTAGCATGTATCTCCAGGATCCAAATCAAGGTTGTATCGCGTTAAATGCAATGCAGGTGAAAAAAATAACAAAATAATATTTTATAAGTTTTCGACCCATGGTTTTATTACAGCATGCAATTTGATTAAAGAAGAATACTGAGACTTTTTAAAATCGTCAAATAACAAGATATAACACTCAAAAAGTATGTTATTGTTGAATAATGCTTATTAAAACATACATAACATACCTGGAGTGACTTTGGTGAAGTCTTCAGCTTAGTTTTGTTCGTTTCCATGGTAAGTGTTAATATATTTTTTACTTACGTTCTGTATAATGTTTTCATAAAATTTAAAAGGAAAGGAAATCAATAGCAAACTTTTACTTGAGAATGTTTTGAAAATATATAAACAAAAATGTATCTTTTTTAACAGACGGAATGATATAATACTTAATTTGGCCTCTGAATGGTAAACCCAGTGAAAATATGCTAGTCTTTCAAAATTTAGTACATTTTTTTTATAAATTGACAAAGAAGAGTAATTTTTTTATTTAAGAGCACAACAGTTTACCTCTAATATCACTTTGACGCAATGAATGTTTCGAAATTGACATAGATGCCAAAAAATATTTACATTTTCACATTTGTTTGGACGGAATAGATATGAGCCAATGTCTCACTCTAGTGTGTTTATGAGATCTCAATCTTCCCACTTTACATCTGACCATTGTGAAATAAACAAACACACATAAACACGCACAGTAAAACTAAGTTGAACAGAAGGCCGTGTTCAATTTTAGAATAGGTAACCGAAGAAACTAAGCAAAATGACACTGATTAACATCAATTAACAACGTAATACTAGCAGTTAGTGACATGCCATCTCCAATCCTCTCGATTAAACTGATCTAACGATTACGTCTTCATCATATGAAGTTTCATGCCATCGTATATGATAAGAGAAAAACCTAACCCGTATCATACCAAAAACTGGTTTAAGAATAAATATGTCTGTTGTAAACCTGTGAGTGAATCAATATTTACTCCTAAAATGCCATATTTATTAACTTGACAACAGTATCGTATCTATATCCCACTTGCATAAGTCTGTATAAAGATTTGATTAGTTTATAAGGTGAGTTACGGTATTTTCGTGCTTTGTATAGAACTTTACCTTAAAATATGGGATGTGAAAAACCTGAACGTATAATATGTCTGAACGTTGATTTATATTTACCAGTAAGGTTCGGAGATGAATCGAAGTAAGTATGCAAGTAGTACATGCTAATTTCGTTTGAGATATTATGATGTATCACAAATATCAAAAACTTTATTTTATACATTTAGTGACAACATATTAGATTATCTTAACTATTCTAAATCTTTGTAACAATTTTTGTTTAAAGTTAAAGTCTATAAATACATTTAATTTGTAAAAAAATATCATCAGGTTATATATATTAACATTGTTGTCAGAAAGGATATCCGTTTGACACTTTTTTTGATTTATTGTTAATTTCAAAACTCAAATCTACTGCAGACGCAACAGGTGTGAAACAGATTTTTAAATGTGCAGTGCAAACTAATATATCATTGTACATATATCAATTAATTAGATAGGTTCGTATATTTTAATAAATTGTTATCATCAATTCATTTAAGCAACATATTGTTCTCTATAAAAACGCCAGAGGTAATCGTTGATTTATTATATACTAATCACGGATGATAGACAATTCACAAATCGTAAGTATAATCTACATGCATTTCCTACGGATATGTTGTTTGTGATACAAAAAGTCAAATAGATATTGCAAGAACAAATTTGATTCTATTGTTATTAGAAAATTATTTATGTTCAACCTATTGTTACACCATTATATATTCAATTGTTGTTTTATTATTTAATACTTCTTTTGTGTGAACATGCCACTCTGTATACCTTTGTGTATACATGTTGTGCTAGTCTATTTGTTACAGTAAAGAAAATTCATTATAAAAAAAAAAAACAAAAAAAAAAACAGTCAAAATATTTGCCTACGACAACACTTTTAATGATGTTATCAGTGGACATTTTTATTTTATTTGAAATAGTTGTATATAACTAATCAGTCGCACAACTCTACGTAGACTATATTCATTGTCCAGATGTCTTATGATTAAATACAAATCGCATAACAGTTGTTTAGAGTTGGACACAGCGTTTCAAAAACTTGCGTTCCCATATACGCTCCTGCACTATTGACACTCAAGGTAGTCTTAGAATGTTCGCTTTTCCGCAAATTTGACGGACAATTCTAGGCTTGGATCGAAAGAATTAAACTTCAAAGCTTTTGCATGAATTTTACATTAACCTCTAAATTTAAAACACTTCTTTACTTTCAGTTTTTAAACAAAATTTTAAAAAAATTCTTACCTACTTATGATTATCATATAATGTGACATATGCGTAACAGTGAAGAATATTCGAACCTGAAGGTTGCATTTCTGTAAATATTGACAATGCAATTTCCCATAGGAACTCCTTTTACGGCTAAAACTGTACTACTTTTACTATGAAGTTTTGAAAAAAATAATATTCTAGAATGGAAAGTTCATATGCACTACTATTTTTTCAAAGGTAAAAAAGATAGAGTTGTGCGGCATATTTTCAACGTTTATATGCCCCGAACTTCTAACAGTTTGAACTAACACTAAATTTCTTAACCACCCCTACCTTAACTGTAGGATTACCACAGATTTCAATATAAACAATATGCATATGTATATTTACTGGTAATATTCCCCAGTTATGTCTCGTTGAGATCATAACTGGGAACCAGTATGTAAACAAAACTAATTATCTATGAATATTCTATATCTCCCCAAAAGAGGTGTGGTTTGAGAAACAGCTGTATTTACAAAGTGCAACCTGAGCAAATCCAGACACTACGATCAGAGCGGTTTATTTAAGTGTTATCTTATTGATAAACTGTTATTTGTAAATAAGTAATTTTGCTTTAAACTAACGTTCTAGTGAATTGAAATACTTTTTGTCTGTTTTTAAAAATACAAACGTCTTGTTATACTATTTAGAATAGCTCTCGCCGCAATAAAGCCTTTATGGCGGCGTAAAGCAATCACCAACCATTCAATCAATCAATATATTTAGTGGAACATTGCATTACGTGGAAAAATATTAAGGGAGCTACCATTTGACTTTTATGGGGGCTAGGATGAAATTTGAAAAAAGGCCGGACAGGAGTGTTAGGTGAAAAAAAGGCAGGATGACAATTTATGTAAAAAACGTCAGAATAGACTTATAAAAAAGGCAGGACCGAATAGAGTGAAAAAAGGCAGGACAGCGATTACAACTTTAAAAAAAATCATCCTACCCCCTCCTCCCCCCACCCACCTACAAAAAAATAAGTCATACGGTAGCTCCCGGATAAACACATTGTCTATAATTTCGTTTTATGCGGTATGAGTTTTGCTCATTGTTGAAGTCCCTACGATGAATTATGGTTATCAAAGGTACCAGGATTATAATTATTAATACGCCAGACGCGCGTTTCGTCTACATAAGACTCATGAGTGACGCTCAGATAAAAAAAAGTTATAAAGCCAAACAAGTACAAAGTCGAAGAGCATTGAGGACCCAAATTTCCAAAACGTTGTGCCAAATACGGTTAAGGTAATCTATGCCTGGGATAAGAAAATCCTTAGTTTTTCGAAAAATTCATAGTTTTGTAAACAGGAAATTTATAAATAAATGACCATATTATTGATATTCATGTCAACACCGAAGTGCTGACTACTGGGCTGGTGATACCTTTAGGGAAAAAAGTCCACCAGCAGTGGCATCGCCCCAGTAGTGTAAATAGTTATCAAAGGTACCAGGATTATAATTTAAAACGCCAGATGCGCGTTTCGTCAACATAAGACTCATCAGTGACGCTAAGATCAAAGTAGTTATAAAGCCAAACAAGTACAAAGTTGAAGAGCATTGAGGACCCAAATTTCCAAAAAGTTGTGCCAAATAATTGTTATTTATTCGTCATTTTGTCTGTTGGCGATAGATTGGCTTCTTATTTTTATATTGCATATAAAAATAACATGAAAAAAGAAAATTTCAACGACAAAAGTGTTAGTTTTTTCTTCATGGAAAAGAAGTAAATTGTCGGATTTCCATACACGCACTTAACACAAATAATTTAAAAGGGACTGGTTGTTTTGTTGTTGCGCATCATCGAAAGTCATTGACACGGAACAAAATTATCATTTCTCTGCAGAAACGTCTGCGAGTGAAACAACGGTGAGAATGAAATCATTTGTCTTTTTTTATAAGTGATGGTTCCCTTTCTAGGGGAATGTTTACTGATTTATTTTTTTGATGAACTGTCAAAAACAGTTGGTATTTTTACGCTAAAATGTTCGAAATGAGAGACTATAAAAGGTAAGTAAGTATCACCTGTCGAAACAGTAAACAAAATGATAAACACTATAAAAATACCCATATAAAGACATTTATAAGTATCCCTTCAAACAACATAATTTAGTAAGTTGAAATACTTATGTGTTCCAGAGAGATATTGGCTTTCATCTGCACTAGAGCAGAAATAATGTCCTTCACAAGAAAGGAAGAGATAAGAAATATTCATATAACCAAATAATTTATTAGGTTTGTAGATATTTTTATACATGGGAAACTCCACTTATTATTATTATTTCCTCTCAGTTTTGACATTTCCCATCGTAGACAATGATGTCATCAATAGCTATATCTCCATGGTAACCTTTTCCTTTGTAACCTCTTATTACTACTTCAAAATCAGAGGAAGAAGATAATGTAACATTCATTCTATTCCATTGAAATCCCTGCTCACCGGATAATACTTGCAACACAAGGTAATTTGCTGGTGTTTGGTTTTTCTGTAAAAAAAGCATAAATTACACAATATGTTTACTCTCTGATACACAAACACGCACTTTCTTTGGTTTTTAAATTTTGGACATTGAGATTAATGATAACGAATTGATAAAATAAGAAGAGAACTAAATATGCATATGATTATTATACATTTTTGTTCAAAGGCTTGCTCTCACTCCGTGAAAGACCCTTTGGTGACCTTCGGCTATTTTCTGTTGATTGATCGTGTTGTTGTCTCTTTGACATATTCCCCATTTCCATTTTCAATTTTAGTATATCCAAAATCATCGAACTTACAATGTAGACCCGAGCAAAATATAATAAAGAATCTGTCATGAATATTTACCTTTATCAATTATTTTTATTCAAAAACTACTTCAATATTATAATCACAAGGGAATGCAAATAATCTTTTAAAAGAACAACCACATCATGCTGATCTAAAAAATGTGTTTAGATAATGAAATGGCAATGGGTTTTTTTTTAAACGCGGGATCATTAATGTTATAATTGAATTCAAATTCTGCGTAAAAACTGAATCTAAAATATAGTTTTAATTCAGACGTCTTTAAAGCAACATATTTGATATTGTCTTAAATTCTTTATAGATTTCCCTACGTTATAGTTTATTAACGCTTTTGAAATTTTGTATTCTGGCAATGCTACAATAAATAAAAAATAATGTATACATACACAGAGGAAAAGAGATTCGGAAGATGCTTAACAGAATATTCAAACTCAGTAGTAAAAAGCAATCGACAATGCTAAGGAAAAAACGAAAAACGACTAGACAATAGAAAAGGTCTACAAAATACATCATAATAATAACCCAGCAACAGGAACCCCACCAAAAACAAGGAATGATATCAATTGTTCCGGAAGGTCAGTTATTCAATGATAATATTTACCTGGATTATTCCAATCTCGAGCTTGTCAATATCTGATCCAAACATGTGAAACCAGAGACTTAAACATCTGTCCTGGTTTCCAGTCATTATTGGTGATACCAGATCAGCATATTCGTGACGAGTGTGACTTGATGTTTCAATATACAAATATGTACCTCGTACGTTACCTGAAATTATATTAGAAATGGGGTATACTAATACCATTTTAGACAAATACCATTAAAAGGCAATTGTGCGTTCATATTAATGATACAAGAATTATTTGTTTTGTAAAATTAATGAAATTAATAAATTTATCTTCTCTCTTTAATTCTTTGAATACTAGTATAACTTATTTCCAATTGTTTTGACTGGAAGCAGCAGCATCATGGATGACACATTAGTAAAACAGTTACTGCTTACATATTTCTGAAGCTTCAAATTTCAACAATTCGTCGCAAAGTGTTTAATGTTTTATATCTTACACAACTTAATAGTATTTATGCGATGGTTCATATTGAAAGCTCGCCGCGATATAGCCTTTTTTGCTTAGGCAGCTTAAATCATACTAAGTCTAAACTATACTAAACCTGCATAATGAACTAATAATTGAACTCTTTTTCCTAGCGATCAGTTTTGACATTAAGGAGGTACCAAACACCTTGACTAACATAAATGTGGCTCGTTTAATTTTCATAAAATTTTGACAAAATATTTACTTTGACAACAAAGCGATCAGTTTTGACATTAAGGAGGTACCAAACACCTTGACTAACATAAATGTGGCTCGTTTAATTTTCATAAAATTTTGACAAAATATTTACTTTGACCTTATGTGTGATGAAATAAATATAAAATTTTCAAAAAACATGAACCACACACTTTATCAGAAAAATCTCATTGGTTATATAGCAGTTTGACAAACAGTGACACTTATTTTGATCATTGAGATTTCCTTAACAATAGAACGTGATTAAAACGTTCAGCTGATTTTTACAGAGTTATCTCCTTGTTGTGGTATGTACCACCTAAATGAGTTGTTGACATAACAATTACAGTTTCAGCCTTAAAAAAAGATATCATAACTTTATCATAACTTCGATTTCTTACCTATAGTATGATCATAACTTGGACCTGTGGCTGTTGACGTTGTTCCTGCTCTATGAGATAACCAATCAAAATTGTCACTGGGAACTTGTTTCCATAGACATATATCTCCTGCTTCAAAATCACAGTTGTATTGCGTAATACCTGTAAAAAAAACCACCTCAAAATTACGCATGAAGTGTAAGTTAAAGAAAGCTTGGTTAATTCAACAAAATCAGCTGTGATGTGTTTCAGCTTTTGATTTTGCCATTTGATAAGGGGGCTTTCCGTTTTGAATGTTCCTCGTTTTTTTAATGTTACGTTATACTTCGTAAAAAATTTCTCACAATTACTTTTAAATAAATATAGTCAGGATTTCATTCTGATAATCGTATACAATATCCCGCCAAAGGCTGGACCAGAAGTATGTAAAATACCTGTTACACATTTATTGGACGTCATTTGTGCTTTTAACCTAACAGTATGGAATTGTAACTTGGCATTTGTGTTGCATATATGATATTAAATGTTCGTTAGGAAAATGATGCAGCACCTTTTACGATATTGAGGCAAGTTTTACTCTACCAAGTATTAGAGTAAATTATTTCATTTTTGTAAGGTTCGATCATCATTAGCTGAAGAAAACTATCTTTTATTTAATAAGGTGTGTAAAAATTTTGCTTTGAGAGTTTGGTAGTTAACTCTTGTTATAATTTAGATAAAATTTTGGAAGATTAGGGGAAAATATTTTTTGTAAAATTTGGAAAGAACAGTCCATGTATATTGTGTTAGAACTAAGCAATATGCAGGCATTAAATTAATTGTTATGTAGCGCTCCAAAAGATCGATAACGTCAAATTAATTGAAACTGAAGTTATTGGCTTATGGTTAGCCAACGGACAGACGAATGGACGGAGTCAATCGGTACCTAGACCTGCTACCGCCTTCGCCGGCGCAGGCAAATATGGGAAGTCCATAAAAAAAATTACAAAAAAAACGTTATAAGCCAACGGAAAAAGTGTAAAAAAAACTTATAGATTCCTGACTGGGCACATAAATGTTATAGTACAACTTATTTTATGTTGAAAGGATTGTATCGATTGCTAAAGCGAAGGCTTACATGTTCTTCCACAGTAATGTTGACTCATTGTCAGGAGGGACATTGTTGTATTGGTGACGAAAATGTGAATGTATTGTACACAAGGCGTCCCAATCTTAACCTTTTTATTATTTACTTGATTTATGGACAATAAATTCAGAGGTTTCTACCAAAGATTGTCCATTAAATATTACTATGAAGTAACATTTGTTTCTTAAAAAAGATTAATAGTAATCCCCTATGGTTCCTGATCCAAATAAGTCTCCCGTCCTGTTGCTCGTTCAACCACAAATTAAGTGTGATGTCTTATTCAGTGATATATTAATCACAGTGGGCGAGATTGTGGTTACGGCAATTAGAACATATCTGTGTTCATCTGTGACACCAACACTCCTAAACGGTTAACGAGTGATAATCACAATAATCCTTAAAATACAGTGATTTAATTTATAGCAATAAATAACGATGCACATGTGCATACTGTTATACAAAAAAATTAAGACAGTATGTACGTAGGAAATGAACTGTCTCCCAGAACATACATTTAAATCTAGGTACATCTAATTTTCAACTAAATTCATCAATTACCTTTAACCTTCAATTCATATGTTGCAATTTTCCTTCCATTTATAAAACAAGTGTAGTTCCCCTGGTCGTTTGGTAGAACATCTGGTATCGTCAATTGATGTTTATCAGACGATACTTTTACACGTGGGTGTAAACTACTCGAATCCTTCGTCCACGTGACCAAGCCAAAAAATCCTGTACTGTTTTTACAATCAATAACAATATTTTTGCTACCTACTTGGATACCCTGATCACTTCTACTTTGCTGTTCTGAAATTGATATTAACAATAAAAATTATCGTTTGAACTGTTTTACATTTGTCATTTCGGGGCCTTTTATAGCTGACAATGCGGAATGGACTCTGCTCATTGTTGAAGGTCGTACAGACATATAGTTGTAAAATGTATGTGTCGCCAAGTCTCCTGTGGAGAGTTGTCTCATTTGCAATAATACCACATCTTTTTATTTTTAGATACACTTTCAATTTCATTATGGCCGTTGGTGCAATTCTTTTGTGAATTAAGATAAAAATGCATTTAGTAGAAATTGGAATTAGAGTTTTTGCCAAAGTCTGGATACAAGGCTATAGAAAATGTGTACATTTTTTAACATTTAAATTTGTTGTTGACCCGTATTTGCTAAATCCACGAAAAAGGTATCCAACGAATAATAATGAATCCATACAGTAACAGTCGTTTATATTACCGTTAAAATAAATGAATGATGTCGACTGTGTTTTCCATTACTAAAGCAACACATTAAATGATATATAATGTGTACAGAACTAATCACAAAAACAACATGTTTCAATTGAATTCCGAAACTTTAAATTCAATCTTTGTCAGCTTCTGATGTAGACTTATGTGTCTTGGACTTTGCTGCTAGTTACCTTTTAAATATATTTTAAGAATCATTATAATAAGCCTTCAAATAAACTGAATGTGTCTATATGTCTATACACAAACCACGCCTCTTTTGGGGAATATAATATTCATAAAAATTTTGTTTTGTTTAGATACTGGTTCCCAGATAAGATCTCTATGTTTCATTTAAAAGAGTCATAACTCGGAAATGTTACCAGTATAAATATAAAAGGAAGCGGCGAAAATAGAATTCTGAGGAAGACCAAAAGTGAAAGGAGGGGTAATACATAATTTTAGTATAAGTTTAGACTCTTAGAAGGTCGGGCATATAAATGTTGAAAATATGCCGCACAGCCATATGTTTTGACCTTTGAATAAGATATAAGTGCTAATCAACTTTCAATTTTAGGATATATTTTTTCCCGAAACTTCATAGTGAAAGGGACACAGTTTTAGCCGTTAAGATAGTTCCTATGGGAAATTGCATTGTCTATATTTATAGAAATGCAACATATAGGACACAAATACCGCCGGCGTGTAGCCTAACAGGTGAGAGTAAATGTCTTGAAACCCATATGAAGTGGGTGTTCAAAGGACATATATTTAGGCAGGCTACACTGTATTTATGCCTCACTTATAGGCAGTTTGTTTTTTTTCCGTAAGTGCGTCTTCCGTTCGTCCGTCTGTCCCGCTTCAGGGTAAAGTTTTTGGTTAAAATGTTTGGTTAAGGTAGTTTTTGATGAAGTTGAAGTCCAATCAACTTAAAACTTAGTACACATGTTCCCTATGATATGACATGTTTGATTGTAATGCCACATTAGAGTTTTGACCCAAATTGCACGATCCACTGAACATAGAAAATAAATCGGCTTTAGGTTAAAGTTTTTGATTTAAGTGTTTGGTCAAGATAATGTGAGATGACGCTGGAGTCCAATCAATTTGAAACTTAGTACACATGTTCCTTATGATAAGATCTTTCTCATTTTAATGCCAAATAAGAGTTTCCAATGTCTCGGTTTACTGAACATAGACGTGTACTATGGACACATTATTGTCTGGTTTATAGTCGGGTTAATATTTATGTAGAGACTAGGAAATTTACAATTTAGAGTAAATGGAAAGCGGAACTAACAACCATAATTTCATTCATGGATTAACAATTAGTATTCCCTTATGTGTCCAAAAACTCGGTCCAGATATGCATGAATTATGCAACAAATGAAAAATATTTAACTACAACTCGACGTAAGATGGACAAAATATCTAGAGTCAAAACGAAATGTGAACTCAACAAGTAAGTAATCTTTTTATACTTGTTTTCAAAAGAAGAGATACATTGTATTCCGTTATTGTAACAACGAATAACGCTTTTAACAAAATGAACCTTTAGGCCACCGAATGGTCGTAAATCCATTTGATCGTCCTCCCCAGTGACTGTCCTTTGAATAATTTCTTTATAATTGCAATTTTTATGGTACTGTTTGTTTAATTTATTCTCATTTTTTTAAGTATTCTAAAGGGTGGAAAACATTATTACATTAAGAGTAAAGCGTTTCAATTTTTATAGCCAATCCGGTCCGTGAAATTGTAGTTTTCTATTTAAACAAGAGAGAGAATAACGATGACAAACGCCTCTAGAAAATTTGCCATTTGATTGTATATAGAACATTAGGGACACTATTTTTCAGCTGTTCGAATAGTTGCTTTTGGAATTAAAATAAGATGTGAGATGTATGTCTTCGACAGGTACGAGACAGCATCACAACGACACAACACTGAAAAAAACATATACAAGACAACATACAACCTTCAACACAAGGGAGGTGTCCATACAAGACGTAAAGCTCTAAATAGAACCAAAAATTGCTTGATTGGTGTTTATCTAACGTCCCGTGGCAATAATTCATGCATGTTCCTGACGATCAATGCTTTGAAAACCATAACTCTAATTGGCGTTTACCGTAACGTGTATTTTAAAGAATATAGTTGGTAATAAAATTCGGGTTAAAATGAACAGAACGAAGTTTGCACCGATAAGCATTATCTAACATGTTAGTTAACAACAGTCTTATGTTTTGTATTTTGAACATAAATTTCCTTTCTGGCCATTATACTTACTTAATTTACAAACACAGTCCTGATCTAAAACTTTACCATCAGGGCCCTTTGGTCCTTGGTCTCCTTTTTGACCTATTTCTCCTAGTTGACCTGAAAAAGTGAAAGCTATATGATATATTGTTTTTGTAATATATGACAATTTACTGATGTAACATTAATATCTAGTAATGATACAATTGGCGAAGTTAACCATTATCCTTGGGGCTCACATTTTATCTTAATATCTTCAAGAATATATCAAAATCAAAATATATCAAAATAAATCTAACAACTAAATATACTGTGGAGCAAGGATAAACAAACCTGTTCCATATAATACGATTGCAAATTATGAAATTAAATTTCTATATTTCAATGAACAAAATCCCAACAAAGGCCAAAAAAGAAGGTGAATGAGGGCATTATATGACTTATATTCATTGAATAATTGAAATAATGCGTTTAAGTTGAGTTACAAAAACAAAATGAACACCATTTCCAACATTCATAATAAACCAATGACAAAGTAGATGATTTACTAAGTACAACCCTTATATGTCAAATTTGAAAAACCCGGGCGTGCTTAATGTAATACTAGTAATATAATGAAGTTTCAGAGAAAGTTTCATTACAGTCTAATTCTATGGTTCAGATAGGAAAAAGACGGGAGAGTCAAATACAAATGTGCACTGTAGTATATGGCTATAGATAAGTCATATAGTGTCATGCCATAGTGAACCTAAATCTTTGTTAGAATGATGTTAAATACGGACGCATAGGCACTTCACATTTCCAACTCATTTGGTTGCTTATTCAGGACCAGTAGCAAACGAACGAATAGACTCATCGATCATTGCATACCAACCGCTTAAGAAGAGTAGGGTATTATAAGAAATAGACAGCTTATCATAATAAATCAATATTTAAGTACAAAAGAAATACAATATCATATGCAATTCAACACGGAATTAAAGCATTTGCGACATTCTCACACTTATGCACTTATTTCACTTTTTGACTAAAATGTTCGTATGCAGGTACACTTGTTACATATTGTAAGATATAATGGCTATTACGTGTTTAAAATATTTTATTTCTGATTTTGAATTTTTTATATTACCGTTAAACCCTTTTGCGCCGGTCAGGCCTGGTGGTCCAATTAGACCTATATCCCCTTTTGGTCCTCTTAAGCCCTGGCTTCCAGGTTCTCCCTTTAATCCAATTATGGCTGGATCGCCAATTTCCCCTTTCAAACCTTTTTCTCCTTTCATACCAGGATCTCCACGAAGACCCGGAGGTCCTCTCTGTCCTTTATCGCCTGGTGGACCTAGCGGTCCTTGATACCCTGGATCTCCCATCAATCCAGGGTGACCAGTCAAACCCTTAGCTCCGTGTATTCCTTGGTTTCCTTTAACGCCACTTAAGCCCCGTGGTCCTTCAGAAAATAAATATTGTTAATCTACTTAATTGAATGCGTACATTTAAGATTATCTAAACGAAAGCCAAAATTGTGTTTTAGTAAACTGTTTGTTGACTTTATATGTTCATATATAGTTCAACAAATGTAGATATGTATATATAAAACTACCGGGACCAATTTTAATGCACCAGATGTGCATTTAGAGAATTATTGTGTCTTCATTGATGCTCGAAGTCCACATATTTGTTGGCAAAACTTATATAGATCTTTAAATGTTTGATTATGTGTTGCTCGTTTTCACCTTTTTTCTGCCTATATTTTACTGACCTATTTTGTCTTTTAAATTTAATTTGTTCTGATGTTAAACTGTCTCTTATTTTTGTTCATCTATTTGTTTAAGTTTAACAATATGTTATTGTAAATTTTAAATTGATCTTACTGTAAGTGACTCACTTTTATCTATTTTGTTTCTTTTAAAAATAATATTGTATACCACCGAAATATAGAAAGGTAACAAGTGGTAACCAGTGGTTTTGCTTGATGTGAAATGCTGGTTGTCGTTTGTTGCTGTAAATCATATTCGTTTTTGTTTTATTATCTTGTACATACATCTAGCTGTTAGTTTCCTCGTTTGAGAGTATTACATTTGCCATTTAGGATCCGTTTGAAGTTGACTATGCAGTATGGATTTTGCTCATTGTTGAAGGCCGCACGGTGACCTATAGTTGTTAACTTCTATGTCATTTTTGTCTCTTGCGGAGAGTTGTAACATTGGCAGTCATACCACATCTTCTTATTTTTATTTTAATCATTTAATTTGATAAATTCATGTCGTTTATTAAATGCGAATTCGTAAGATATTGCGAAAGCGTGAGTTTTAAAGGGACTCGAATACTAGTACAATGAAAATAACTTGAAATCGAAACAATGTCGGTAAACTTTTACCATGAAAAATTATTCATCGTAGTGAAAGCGTAGTACTCACCTTTTGTTCCCTTTGCCCCAGGTTGTCCTTTAATTCCTACAAAAGAAACACATTAGTTTTATGGTAAAGAGCACACAGTACGCCCGTCATACGCATACTGATGATGTTGCCAAAATGATATGGACATTTGTAGAAGGTTTTTTTTATCAGAAGGCGTTAAAATGCTATTATAAAAAACAACTTACAGAAGGCTAGCTTGAGGCGTATGAAAACGTGTTCAAATTTATTGTTAACAGCCTCGTTAATCTTGTGAAATAAATCTTAAAGCACGCACGTTTGTGTGAAAAAATTACAAATGGGCGCCTCATTTAAGAAAGTGTTATATATCGGCTTGGCGAATTCAACAATACCAAATTTGATCATATTTCTATACTATAGTTTACTCTTCAAAGGTCCATTTAATTAAACCTATGATCAGCAAATTTATTTACAGGATTTAACTGATACTCACCCCAAGAACAAACGGTACCATTACTAGAAGTGCAGTGTTGTTCTAGAATAGATTCCTGTAAATATAAACAAATGTACTTCATAATCTTACCTTAATTGCTTTCTCAAACAAGATACTTCCAAATAAGGAAGTCTAGGTTAAAAAGTGTCTAAATAATGTATGAAATGTGTTTTTCATTTATATCTGCTTTGCCTTTTTCAAAACTATTTCATTATTGCTCATCTTTTACGTTTGGTGTTACGTTGAAAGAAACGAAAAACAGCTGCCCAACAAGCATAGTTGCAGTATCAGATTTATTGATTAATTTGCTGTTTTAAGCCTCATTAACATATTGACGAATGATATGTAACGTACAGATTTAAGTTTAAAAGAAGTGTAATTAAAAAAAAATCAATTAACCCATTTTATATATATAATCAACGTTTAAAACTAATATTTGTCAATGATAAAACAAATGTCATCTGACGTCCACATGCATTTCTACTTTGTGATACGTGTATCATAGGATATTTGAGGTGTTATACCACCAACTCATAGTACGTCTCATCCGGTTGCATATGGAATGAATTTAGAGGTGTAGGAAATTAATCCTATATATTTCATTGCATTAACAATTTTTGAATTATAAACATATATCTTGTGTGTTTCAAAGCACCATTATGTTTTATTTAGTGTTTCTATAGAAGATTAAGGAAACCTGATGTTACATGGTTACTTAGGTTGTACACATGAACAACAATGTGAAAAATTTGATTGGTTAACTTCCGATGATGGTTATTTTCTTATATGCAATAAAATGGTAAGCAGTATTTTGTTTATAGTAATTGACTGGATTAACTTTACTCATGCCAAGTATTTCTTTTTTTGAAACAAAGATAAATTCTGCACAATGTTTTGAAAAGTGCAAATTTAACAAAGAGTAATAGTGGAATATCAATGGAGGTTTCACACCCTTTAAACACTTTCTATAGCTATAAATACTATATGTGACACTACCTTTTGATACATTATATAAAGCACAATTGATGTCATACCTGCATGGTTAGCAACTGTTGAAACATAGCGTGAAGAGAGGAGGATGTCTGTCTTTTATGTAGATCCTTACGAACTCCATTTTCAGGTTCCAAGACTTTAAGTATGTCTTTTACTATATTGTTCGGAAGATGTTTGGTGTTCTCTAGGAAATTTATCATTTCTTTTGTCTGAAAACAAAAAAACTAAACTAAACATGTTTTCTTCTGTGTTGTTTTTCTTTCCTCTCATTTGTTCTTACAAAAGGGACTAAATATTGATTACAACTGCATGAAATATTTACCAATAAATGATTCCGTTTTTATTCCAGAGCTACATGGTTATATAATACCGTTTCACGAACCAATATGAAGATAAAGAGGTCGACTGAAGTATTCACAAAAAAACATATCTCAAATATCGGTACTGTGTCTTTCTAGCATGTCTGACATATTGTTGGATGTTTGGTGCTGTGTTTCATGTTTATTATTCTCTTCATTTCCTTCGAATGAATAAAGTATTCTTCCCTTGTTCACAATTTGCATACTCGTGGTGGAACTTCCTTTTATAAAGCAGGTATTAGACGATAATGGGTAAATGTGTTAGCTTTTTGTATTGTTATATTCTAAAAGCTCTTATAGTTTGTGTTCCCGAGCGGAAGGATGATGTTATTCAATAATCGCGTAGTGTGTGAGAGTAAATATGCATTTGTTTTATTACTATTGAGTTAGTTTTGTATTCACATTTGGTTGATTTTTATCTTAAAAGGTCACACTCCTTGAGGTCAGTGTGTTGCTAGCATGCAATTAAAAATTCATAATTTTTATACAAATGTATTATGCACACGTAAGAAATAACTAATCTTACCTCAGACATTGTATCCTCAGAACCACATCGTGTTTCCAGGACCCGTAACTTTTCTGACTCGTATAAGTATTCATGCTTGAGTGTGTAGGTTTTATAATATTGCCAAAGAGACAATATAATAAATAAAGCCGTGTACAATGTTGTCAGACATATAAGTATTGTACGAGATAAAGGTTTAATCTCCATTTTGAAATACTTATCACGCAGACATTTCATGTTAGTATTACAATATGTAGAATTATCTATACATGTATGTCCAAATATAGCAAAACAAGTTAAACCTTGGTCAAAGGTCCTTTACAATAATCTTTTATGGATTTAAGTTATGAATTTTGAAAATATCATTTTCTTTCGCTAAAGACATTCTTTAAAAGGTAAACTACATTTTTGAAACTAAAACACAAAACAAAATGTTTCATAGATTTTAAAGGAAATTTCGAAAGTGCTTTTTAAAACTGATTAAAACGGGAATTAATGTTATTTTATCCTAGAATAATAATTTTATAAACGGACAGTCAATACTAGTTAATGTATCATGATTGTTATTTGACTTCAACTGTCAATCTAATCTTCTTAATGCTACTATTATTCGGTCAATCGATAATTATTTAACAATTTTCTATCTTTCTTACAAGCTTCGGTAACTGCGATAACAGGTCTAGTAACCGCTCGACTCCATCCTTCCGTCAATGGATAGAAAACTTTCTTCGAGTTTTTCTGTCTTCTTCTATGGAAGATAATGATTGAATATTTAGACTGCAGCTTTAAAATATTGAGATGTAGTGTGTTAGCATGTTTTACATTGCTGTGCAGCAACTACCTGTTTGATGATAGTTTGGAATTTTACAACACTCATTGTACAAGTGAAATGTTGGTCAAAATTTTATTTGTTTCTATGGAAGAGAACGACTTTATATAATGGTCTGCAGCTCGATAAGTACCGATTATCAGGTCTGCATATTTATATTGTAAAATAATTGCTGCGAGTCACAATATGAAACTTTCTGTCGAGTGAGCGCACCGAACGAGTTCAAAAAGGCTCGATATTGTGTCGAGCAGCTGATATTTTACAATATAGATTTGATGAAAATCTAATAATCGATTTATCGGATTATATATTTGTGTATTTTGCATGATAGAAACAAGTCTTTTTCTTTGTTTAACTAGCAAACAGGGAGATGAATGATAAGTTCGGGTCAAACCAATGTTGGTTCATTCATTGTGACGTCGATGATATGTCTGGGTCAAAGGTTTTTATGCCGATTTAACGTATTTAACGTCACAAAGCCGTGATACGCAATTTTATGAAGAGCTGAGCAGAGTGATACAGACAGTTGGAACACCGACAATATTGAGTCGCAGCATGTTTGCAATTCATACATCTGCCGTGAAGCAACTTTCGTTTGCTGATAGTTTTTCCAACATTCACACTTTTTGCACAAGGAAAATTTTCGAAAATATTTTCTTGGCTTCAATAAAAGGGAGTTATCAGGTTTTTTTTCCTTAATCAAGTAATTGATACGGCTACATTGTTTACATATGATAATTAGAAATAAGAAGATATGGTGTGAGTGCCAATGAGACAACTCTTCACCCAACTCACAATGTGTAAAAAGTAAACAATTACAGGTCAAAGTACGGCCTTCAACACAAAGCCTTGGCTCACACCGAACAGCAAGCTATAAAGAGCCCCAAAATGACTAGTGTAAAACAATTCGAACATAAGTTCCTTTCGCAACACTAAATGTAGCCCTGATCTTAGCCTGGGGAAGAATATTATCAGAAAATAAAATTTGATAAAACAAATGAAACAAATACATCAACCAACAGCAACCTAAACGACTCAAGCAATCTGAATTCCCATTTCAAGTCGAGAATTCCAGCGTATAATAGTAACTCATGTCTACTCATTTTACTAAATGAAAATACATTTAAATGTCAGATAACTGTTAATTCCTAATTCATATGTTGGACTATAAAGTGCGATGGGGAAGCTTAAACGCGATGGTCACGCAAAAGTGCGATGGTCTACGCTAAAGTGCAATGGTTTGGTACACTAAAGTGCGATGGTCTGTGCTATTCAATGGAACACGCTAAAGTCCGATGCCTCGATACGCTTAAGTGCGTTTTCTCGCGAAAGTTCGTTTGTTTATGAAAGTAAAGAAGTTAACAACGCTTAACAGCATTCTGTCATTACAAGCAGTTTGTGCAAACAAAAATGGACATGCCGGAATACTAGAATGTTTGTTCAAGGTTTTGTGAGACAACGAAAAAGAACAAAAGGAAAAAATGCAAATGATCCTTATCCGGAACAGGTTTGGTCGGTGCTGGAAGAGGTTAACTATATTTGGCTAATTTGTGTTTACAAAAGGGCCTCAAAACGACGAGAGTATTTAACTATTCAAACGAGAAAAAATAACGGCCTAGTTTATATACAAAACAATAAACGAAAAACAGATATGAAATACAGCAACAAACGAATACCACTGAATTACAGGTTCTTGGCTTGAAACGGGTTCATAAAGTATATACTTGCTACTGCAATGCAACCATTTCACTGGTCTAATAACCATACGTCCTTAAACGTAGAGTCTTGGCGCACGCTGCATAGCAAGTTTTGTAGGGCCACACAATGACCAGTGTCAAACATTTCAAAAGAGAAAGACAACGGCATGATTCATAAACATAAGAATAAACGAAAAATTAAAAGGAATACAGCAAAAAACAAAAACCATTGCCTGAACCCCATTTCCGTTACACTATCAAACTTTAACTTGCTATATCATTGCTCTTTAGCATGTTATACCATCGCACTTTAGCGTGTCATGTAATTGCACTTTAGCGTGTCATACCATCATACCTGAGGGTGTCATATAATCGCACTTAAAAAAAAACAACCATCGCACTTTAGATTCTGACACAATCACACTTTATCGTACACCATCCAACTTTAGCGTGGTCATCGCACTTTAGAGTACCATCGCACTTTAGAGTCCTACACATATATTTTCTAAAGGTTTCAATTGTTTATTGTTTTATTCTGTTCGTTCCCTCTAGATGTCGATTTTTTATTGGTATAATCGTTATTGTAACTTTATTCTTGATGCTAACTTTACAACTCAATTCGTTAAATCTAACACCTAACGTGAATGCATTGGGCTCAACACAACTCAAATTATAGCCAAAACGGAACCCCTGTCTTAATTTTTTCCTTTTTCTAAATTATAAATGCAAAATTAAGATATAAATCAATTGTTTTAAAAACAATTGTTAACGGTCTTTTCTCTCCGAAACATGATTGATTAATTAATTGATTGATTGGTAGGTTGGTTGGTTGGTTGATTGGCTGGTTGGCTGGCTGGCTGACTGGCTGGTTGGCTGATATAGTAATTAAACACATGGGGTAGGGTCTCATTGAATAAGCGAAGAAGAAACAAATGAGATCTTGGACCCCGTATTAAACAGATTGATTGATTGGTTGGTTTGGTAGGTTGGTTGGTTGGTTGATTGATTGATTGATTGTTTGATTGATTGATTGAGTGATTGATTGATTGATTGAAAGTTTGCATGGCACTCTCTCTATGCGAGGCATCGGACTTAACGTTCTGAGCAAACGTGGCTGCGTATTTGTACATCCCGGACAGCCAAACGGACGGCCAGGATTTCCTTATGAATACAAATCTTTACATTTTATAAATGTTTTCTTTTTTCTACGGGAACTCTGACTTATTCATATTGATTCAGGTAAACAAGTTGTAGATACAGAAATTATGTACACTTGTTAAAAACAAGTGTGTTTACAAACCTGTCACCACGATCCCACAATCGTTTATCAGTAAATCACGTTTCGCTGTTAGGAAGACAGTCATGTAGTTCGGGTATGCTGCAGATAATTTATCATGCAGGTCTTTGTCGAAATCCGGAGAATTCAACATATCTTCAACTGACTCAAATATAACTTTTAAACATTTAATTTGCTCATCTGAAGATGTTCTCATTGTTTCATGCCTAAAAAATAATATTCGTTTAACATTAATTGTCGTCGCTTGTATCAAGGACCAGGTACTACATATGTATCTATCAACGTTAATATTTCAAATATGTTTTACCTATTGACTATATCGATGATTGTACAGATTTCCTTTAAATAGAAATATATTTGTATAATAAGAAACTACTTTGGCACCTAAACAAATCTGAAATAACTCATTATTTGTTTGGTGTGTAAATGGCTAACTCATAATAATTAATATGTGATCGGCAAAAGAAATAAGTTAAATTAGATGTCACCTGATCACAAAACTGATTGAAAAATGCTAAGAATGTAACAAATTTGTTACGACAGAATTGTACACATCTTTTACGGTTATAAAAGATTTATGATAACAAGAAATATAATGTACGGTGAGAAAACTCTTATAGGTTCCGTCATTCATGGTGTATTCTGAAACAGATATCACTGTATCGTTTTATGTTTAATTTTTTATTCGAATTATCGCAAAACAAAAAAACTAAAACATCCGGCGGAAAA